CCGACAGAATTTTAACTATCAATTACAGCATTTTATGAGTAAATGCACTCATAAAATGACCGGTGGGAGAAGGGGAGGTGTGGCTCTCTGGTGCGCAGTGAGCCCAGCCCTAGCTCTTCCTTTCGAGGAGGTGGAGGTGGGGTGGGGGTGGGGCAATGCTTCCTTTCTGTCTTGCACACACCCAGCCCCCCTGCTGTTCTGCGTGCCTTCTTTTCCCCACCTGGGCTGCCTGATGTTCCTATTAACCGGCTTTTGCCTGCCCAGAAAAGGGAGAGGGGGCATATGAAATAGTACAATGGCAGCTTACTTTGTTATGTGTGGAACAAGTTCAGAATATTAATATTTTGTGGCAGGTCAAACTTGGGAAGAGAGAACCCCATAAAATCAAATGCTGCAAGATAAATTAAAATGGATGTCAAGGGTTTTGTTCTGAAATTGCCAATTCATTAATGCCTGGTTTTATACACACACACACACACGTATATATATGGATTTAATATGTGTATTAAATATGTATTTGTATATAATTGATATAAACTGTAAGTGCACATGCACACACTCTCTTTCACACTTACACATGCTTCTTCTAAATCCCATACTCAAGTCCCAGTTGTAGATCTAGCTGCTCCATGAGTCTTTCCCTGCTTAATTTTTTCCTAGACCAATATATTCTTGTCCCCAAGTTTCTGAAGTATAGAGCCTTAAGATAAACTCCTTTTCAAACCCTCATGCACTGTTGGTGGGAATGCAAACTGGTGGAGCCACTATGGAAAACAGTATGGAGGTTCCACAAAAAGTTAAAAATGGAACTACCCTACGATCCAGTAATCACACTACTGAGTATTTACCCCCAAAATACAAAAATACTAATTCAAAGGGATACATGCACCCCTTTGTTTACTGCAGCATTATTTACAATAGCCAAGATACGGAAACAGCCCAAATGTCCACCAGTAGATGAATGGATAAAGAACATGTGGTATACACACACACACACACACACACACTGAAATATTACTCAGCCATCAAAAAGAATGAACTCTGGCCACTTGCAACAACATGGAGGGAGCTAGAGAGTATTATGCTAAGCGAAAGGTCAGTCAGAGAAACACAAATACCATATGACTTCGCTCATGTGGAATTTAAGAAACAAAACAAATGAACAAAGGAGAAAAAAAAGAGAGAGACAAACCAAGAAACAGACTCTTAACTGTAGAGACCACACTGATGGTGACCAGCAGGGAGGTGGGCGGCTGGATGGGTGAAATAGGGGATGGGGATGAAGGAGGGCACTTGTTGTGATGAGCACCAGGTGTTGTATGGAAGTGTTGAATCACTATATTGTATACCTGAAACTAATATTACACTGCATGTTAACTATACTGAAATTAAAATAAAAATTTTTAAAAAGGTTAACTTCTTTTCTCCCTAGGTAAAATGAGAATTCTACTTCATTGTGGTCCAACGCAATGTTTAGTGTAGTGCTAGGCACATGGTAGGTTGCCGGGTCCTTGAGCCACTGACGTTCAAGGGAGGTAGCCCTGGGGACATGCGGTAGAACTGCCCTGCTTCTTGGGACTTCTGGTTCAAGCCTTGGATCAAGGGTGCATCTTTGGACCATAATAATTACAAATCTCTCATAGGATTGCCTTCACTGAACCGAATTCCATTCAAAGCTCTTGGTGTTTTTTAAGGGTTGAGGAAATTAATTTTCTACTGCATTTGCTGTTAAAAAACGTTGTAGGAGGACATTGCCTATCACGTCGCTCAAGGTCCCCTTATATAAAGTCCCGCAGAGGTTTTTGTTTTCTTAGTGATTCTGTGTCAGAAAAGCCCTGCTTCCCCTTCTTATCTGTCTTGCTTTGTGGGATAAGAGCACAATCACAGTACCTTTCTTTCCACTTTGGAGAACCAGGGGTTTGACTGGGTTTCCCCTCTTTGCTCTTGTTGTCAGAAAGTTCAGGTCCGTTCTAGGCTTACTCACTTCCGTAATTGTTGTGTGTGTTGACAGAGCTGTTTTTCTTGTCTAGATGTTCGTAATACCGTCTTAGATTTTTTTTTTAAGATTTTATTTTTTTATTTGACAGAGAGAGAGAGCACAAGCAGAGGGAGTAGCAGGCTCCTCCCTGAGCAGGGAGCCCAATGCGGGACTCGATTCCAGGACCCTGGGATCATGACCTGAGCCAAAGGCAGCCACTTAACCGACTGAGCCACCCAGGCACCCCCCTTCTTAGATTTTATTAGTTGCTATCTTAAGGCTTTTTTCTGAGAACGATATTATTATTATGGATTTTGGAAAAGAGAAAAAAAGAAAAATTACCTATACTCTAATGACCCAGTGATTGTAGCATCCAGAAAGATTTGAGTATATAGTATTTCCTTCTGTGTTTTTAGAAATTGCAGACTAGGGGCGCCTGGGTGGCTCAGTCAGTTAAGCATCCATCTCTTGGTTTCAGTTTGGGTTGTGATCTGGGGGTCAAGCCCCACATTGGGCTCCACACTCAGCGCAGAGTTTGCTTGTCCCTCTTCCTCTGCTCCTCTCCCCACTTGCACGCTCTCTCTCAAATAAATAAATAAATAATATCTTTTTAAAAAATTGCAGACTAGAAAAGTCTAGAAGTAACAATGGCTTAAACATGCGAGGGATTATTCTCTCCCATAAAAGAAACCCGGAGGTAGGCAGTCTAGGTCTGACATGGTGGCCCCATGAAATCATCAGGGACCCCAGGCTTCTGTCTTTCTACTCTGCCATCCTCTTAATGTGACTCCTAGAGCAACCTTAAGGTCACTTCATGGGCCAAGATGGCTGCTGGGGTTGCAGTCACATCGTCTGCATTCCTGGGATACATGAAGGGAAAAGGGTGGAAGAAGAGTTAACCTCCTGCCTTTTAAGGAGGCTTCAGAGAAATCAGACCAGCACCTCCAGAATTGGTTAGAATTTAGTCACATGGACTCACCTACCTGCAAGGGCAGCTGGGATCTACAGTTTTTTCCAGTGAGGCAGGCTTATTTTACAGGTCTCTGTTACTAGGGAGAAGGAGAGACTTTTGGGAAGCAGTCAGCCGTCTGCCACATTTCTGGGTTGTTCTACATGCATTTCCAGTCAGCATTTTGTTGAAACCTCCTCAAATAGTTTGTGGAGAAAGTCAAGATAGATAAACATCCGTGTGAATAACAACAAAACACATCACATCTTATGTACCACTCTGTCTTTCTATAATTTTTTCTGTGAATTTATTATTTATACATATACTGATTAGTGTGTTTTGAATATTCAGTCAGCACAGACTTATCCAGGGCCAGAGGGATCTTAACACAGGTTTCTCCAAGGGTCCCGTATTCGGATGGCCACAGGAACCACTCCAGCACCATGAATAATTAAGTGGGGGGCGGGGGGGTCCAGTGTTGGGGGCCACGATAGGGAGTGGTGGGGACTGTGGCAGCACGGAGATCGCAGGCCCTGTCTGGAGGGGGCAGCTGCCTTTCAGCTCCATATCTTGTTCTCAAGTGAGAACACAAGCTCAGTGTTGCCAAATCTTCTATTTTTTTTTTTCCAAGAGAAACCAGAAATTCAGATTTTTATCTGAAATCCCCTGGTGTTTATAACTTGGTGGCTAATGAACTTAATTTTTTAAAATGCTAGTCAACCACAATGCAATCCCATGGGCTGCTGATTTAGGATCTTTGGTCTGTTCCATCCTTGTTTTCCAGTTGGCAGCCGAGCCCGGGAAAGGTCAAGTGCCTTGTGATGTGGCTGGAGACTTTGCTCTTTGGTCCCCACCTCAACAAAGCCTGGTCCTGTGTGGCTAATTTGTCTCAGAATATGAAGAAATAATAAAAACTTGAGGTTGAGCAAGACTCCTCTGAAGGTTAATTGAGTCTCCCCTTCAAGTGGCTTTCATTTCCTTTTGAAGTCATTTTGATGTGATGGAATCAGAGAACCCTGGGCTCGGATCCCAGCTCCGCTCTCACCGCTGTGTGACTTTGGGCAAGCCGCTGGTGTCTCCTCTGTCTCTTCTGTCCCTTCGGTTTTCTTTCTTGCCTGCTTTTGTCTCTCTCTCTCTCTCTTTACTTTTCCTCCTTACAAATAGCACAGCGTGGTGGTGAAGAGGAGGGCTTCCGGAGCCAGATAGGAATCCTGGTTTCTCTACCTACTAGCTGGGTGGCCTTGGGCAAGTCATTCAAATTTCCTATGCCTCAGTTTCCTCGTCTGTGAAATGGGGATAAGACCAGTACCAGCTCCACAGGGTGCAGTAAGGATGGCAGAGGTAAAGTAGCACAGACAGGGCTTGGTGCACATAGGTAGCGCTAGATAAATACCAGCTGTCCCCTCCACCCCCACCCCTTTCTGTTTTCTGCTTTGGAGGCCATGCATTTACAGTACAGTGGGCCCGGCTCTGGGTCCCCACTCACAGCACTTTTAGCTCCTGGCACCCCCAGCCCCCGGGCCCCAGCCCTGACCCAGACCCCTGGCAGGCGGTGTGACTTCCCACTCCGTGCCTTCAGCATTCTTCTGCTCCCGGTGCTGGGCTTCCAAGCCCATCCATGCTCACAGGCTTCTCTCTCTCAGCTCACATTTCATCTGTCACTGCTCGGTGTTTGGGAGACAAGGGATGCATCAACCCACTGCTGTCTTGACCTCAGGCCTTGCTAATAAGTGATCTCCTCAGTCGCCCAGATGATAACACTCAGACGTTGGTGAAGATAACTTTCTAAGATAAAGCGTGAAAGCCGTATGGGTTTGCTTTAGCCAGAGTTCTGAAGGCAGCAGATAACTTGTCCTGGAAACCAAAGAGCCTGTCAGTTTGTGGCTCCACAAAGACGTCCCCAAGCAGGTTTGTTCAGATGGCCAAGCGGCCAAGAGTGTGGCACTCATATTAACGAAAGAAATGGTCTCTCTCCCCAAAGACTTGAAATGAAGAGCGACTTAGACCGCACTGTTAGTTTAATTAAATTGCTTCTTTCTCATCCAATGGAACGTGACCATCCAATCTTTTCAGCTTTTAGGTTAATTTGAATAGGAGATCTGACCTGAGTGGCCCAGCTGTACAACTCTTCAAGGACAGTCAATATTTGCGGTAGAGAGGAAGAAGGGACATAGGTATGTATGGCCCAGACTTTTGTTTGTTTGTTTCTCCTCTTCACTTCCCCTTATGTTAGGAAGTAATGAGAGGAAGTGGGGATGGCGGGAGGGACTTCATCTTTTAATTCCATAAAATTTCAATTCTTGACCAACAAGGAAACCTGTAAAACCACCTGCTGCGTTTCTCGGTTGTTTTTCCAACAAAGGGGATGGGAAAGAGCGTGTTACCAGCTTCGTGTCAGAGAGACTTTGGAACTCCTGCTGGACCTTGTTTGGGGCCTTGAAAAATCATATTAATGAACAGCAGCGTCCTGGGTGTTTGTCTGCTGCCGGTTTGACTGGCTTAGGTGGCAGGGCACCCGAGAGGTGGGGGACCAGAGCTGCAGGGGAAACCTGTGGAGCACTTTGGGAGCTGTGTACGTTTTTAGGCCACACGCCCCTTGGAGAACCTGATCAAATCTGCAGATCGTCAATCTCAGGGTCGTGAGGTCGAGCCCCGCGTCGGGCTCTGTGCTCAGCGAGGAGTCTGCTTGAGATTCTCTCTCTTCCTCTGCCCCTCCCCAGAGCACATGCTCTCATGCGCTCTCTCTCTCAAATAAATAAATCTTGAAATCTGCAGATCCTTGCCACAGAAAACCACATACACACAAACCTTTACATCTAATTGTAGGGGGTTCCTGGACCCTGGAATCCTGTAGGGAACCCACAGACCCCAAGTGAAGAATCCTGTTTGAAGGGTTTATAAATAGCCAGCCTTTCGGGGACGTGGCCCCAGGAGCGAGGTGACACTTCTCCAGAAGTTAGGTTTTAAGGCAACTTTCAGATCATAAAGGTTCAAAGGTTGATACAGTTGAAAGTGTATTTTGAGTCAAAATCATGTAGGATCCATATTTTAAAATTATTTTCTTGCCCCCATGGTGGAAGGCTAGTTGAGCCCTGATCTTTCATTGCCTTTCCTCACTGAATTGGGACCTCTGCCAGAGGTCATCGGCAGTGTGTTCAGTCCTGTATTTGCCAACGTCACCTTGACCTCAGGGAAGGGTTTCTCGGACCCCTTTAGCCTCACTGCAGATCTGTAGAGAGTTCATTCGGTCATGCCCCGCACACGTTTTCGGGAGGTTGTTTTGTCTTGCCCATTCTGGCTGCATTGTGGGCCACCAGAGTTCTCATACTGACTGTTTTTAGCAGAGGCTACTTGACACCATTCCAGAGAAGCTGTTGCCATAGCTACCTTGGCTGTGAGTTACCATTTTCTCCTTTTCGTTAAGCTCGTGGTTTTCCTGATTTTTAAGGTAACACCTAATGTTCTGCTTTTCTCCTGAGCAGCAAGGAAAAAACTGGATTTTTGTTGCTGTTACTTTTGTTGTTGTTGATGTTTGGAAGGTGTGTGTGTGTGTGTGTGTGTGTGTGTGTGTGTGTTGTGTATAAGGTAAAGCCACCTCAAAACAAAATATCAGGAGAGCTCCGGGCAAAGCCAGACCTGCATACACGTTTTCTGCACTCCTAATTTTTAATTTTGGTCTGGATTTTGGACTAATGGCTATCGTCAGATACCTTCAGTGGGGAAAGAAATTGCCTGGTTCCATTTCACACTGCCTGAAACCCAGGCTCAAGGATCGCTGCCCCGCTCCGGGGCCGAGTCTGAACTTGACTCGAAGCACCGGGGCTGCCCCCTCCCCCCGCCAAACCAGGAGCAGATGGCCGAGTCAGACCCAGCTTGCTTTGTCTCCTCCTCCTCTGGCAGTGGGGGGCCCGGGGGGGTCGGTGAGCAGTACCGTCACACCTGTGGACAGTAGCGGTCCCTCCCACATTTCTGTCCCGGGCTGTAAACATGGTGCTTCACAAACACCTGGTGCAGAACCACTCAAGGCTGCCAGCCCACGGAAATCAGTGGGCCACCTCTAGGCCAGCTTGAGCCTCTGGCGGGACTTCTTTCTCCCGCTCCCCAAAGGATGCTATTCTCAACATTTTCTAATTTGCTTCTCTTAGAAGAGCTCATTCGATTTAAAACAAAACCTTACCCAGTTTATCAGTGCACAAGCCTGTTTGTGATTTGGGTTGTTGCCAGGCCACTGGTGGCCTGAAGACGCTGATGGCCATCGCCCTAGGTGGCCCTATGAACATACCCAGATTGTGACTTGTCATCGGCTTTGCCTCTTAGTGTGGTGGGCTCCGCCCCTCCTCAGTGTGCTTCTAACCCTAGCTGTGCGCTTCTGCTCCCCAGATCAAGATGAATGCCATGCTAGAGACCCCCGAGCTCCCAGCCGTGTTTGACGGGGTAAAGCTGGCTGCCGTGGCTGCCGTGTTGTACGTGATCGTCCGCTGTTTGAATCTGAAGAGCCCCACAGCGCCGCCTGACCTCTACTTCCAGGACTCGGGGCTCTCGCGCTTTCTGCTCAAGTCCTGTCCTCTTCTGACCAAAGAGTGAGTAGACCCCACACCCACCGTATGCCCACCCGCTGGTCTGTTTGGCTGGTGCAGTGTGCAGAGAATCTCCACACACTGTGTCCCTGTTGATGTCCTCCGAGTAAATCTGTCTTCCCTCAGGGCTCAGGCCAAGCCTGGGGCATGAAGCATTCCCTGCTCTCCTGGGTCTGAATTCCTTCCACCTTGCTGATTATGGCTCCTGCACTGTTTGTGCCTCTTCAAACGCCGTTCTGAACGGCAGATAACGTTCTGCCAGGCATGCCTTAAGATGGCAGCTGCTTCTAGAACTGTCTTACTAAACGGTGTCCGCTCAGCATGAGGACTAAACTCAGTGGAGTTTCTCATACTCAGTGGACAGTAATAGGGGCGTTCCCCCTCTCCTGATATAACTTTTCATCCCCTCTAGGGGGTTGGTGACATTGGGTAAATGGTTCTCTTCTCAAGAGTGGACAAGTGGGCAGCAGATGCATCTGAGAGGTTGGGTTCTTGCTTTGTCTTGTGCGATTGTCTAGTTGATTTTTACGTGCTCTTAGCCAAGGCCAAAGAGCTGCCATCATGGGCTTTGGGTGTTTAGGGTGTTGTGTGGAGTTTTCTTACTTTTAAGAGTGATACCAGGACCCAGAAGTTACTGTGAAGTCGAGAGTGACTCATAAGTCAGTCACGTTGCCTGATACTTGTGGGGAGTGCTGCGTACGGGATAAGTGTCAACCGGGCATTGGACCAGGCGTTCTTATTCAGCAGGGTATGCACTGAAAAAGCTCCTCTTCTAATAGGGTGCACAGAATCTGTGTGCTTTCCACTTCGGCTGGCATTTTCCTTCATTACTTCATTTAGAGAATTCACTAGTCCTTACTGGCAAGTGACATTTGCACCTATTCTCATATTGAGTGGGACCCAGCTAGACCCAAGTTCCTGGGTTATCTCATTTTTAAAGAAAAAAGTGAAAGTATTGGGTCAATATGTAAGTTAATAACGTAGATGAGTGCAAAGTTCTACCCAGCATGGGTTCCTGAGTAGCTAGGGGAAGTCACGGAAAAGCCGCTAATGTCCGGGCTCAGGAAAAACATCATGGATGGTTGATCCCATACTAATTGTTCAAAGTAAAAAAAAAAAAAAAAAGTTGATTATGGCAGGTTTTTACCTCTTTTCATGTTTTCCTTTTAAAAAACAACCCAGAAACATTAAATCCAACAGTTCTCTTTGCTCTTTTTCCTCCCTGGCACACTCTCTCCCTGAGCCTAAGATGCTGGTATGGCGCCACGTGACTCTCTTGAGATGGCCGCACCCACTCTCCTGGTGTGGAAGTGTGTCCCTGGCCACAAATCTCCTTGAACCTCGTGGCGGTGTCCACCACTGCACCACCCCTGTCGTTAACCAGTCACCTGCTCCCTCCTGGTGAAACCCAAATTAGGGAAGGGTAGAGATCAGCCTTAGTTACTTAGCTATGGTTTGAGGATAGGTGCAAAGGGACAAGTTGCCTAGAAACTGTTCCCTTCCAAGACCTATCCCTTTGAGAAGAGGACCAGCCTCCTCTGAGCATGTTGGAACATTACTTAAACAGCTAAATTCTAAACATCCAAGCTCTCTTACTTGAACATGACAAATGATCAAAGGACCAAAGGATTCACTTTTTCCCCTCCATCTTTTAACTAACCTCTTAATTTTATTTATTTATTTAAGTAGCCTCCACTCTGGAGCCCAACACGGGGCTCAAACTTACGACCCTGAGCTCAAGACCTGAGCTGAGATCAAGAGTTGGATGTTCAACCAACTGAGCCACCCAGATGCCCCAACTAACCTTTTATTTTTTATTTAGGTTCTAATTTTAGGAATAACTATATCCTCCACTCATGTAGCTTCTCAGCAGAGTATTTTCACGTTACTCTCTTTTGTCCTTTTTCCTGCATTTTAAATTTGTTTTGTATCTCTCGTAGATATTATGCATTTAATCTTCTTAATGACTTTTGAGGTTGGACTGATTTTTCCTCTCATTTTGAGGAAACTTCCCAGGAGCAGAGAGGATGACTAAAACCATTGGTCCCCCTCTTATCCATGGGGAGGTGGACTGACTTCTCAGGGTACAGAGAAGTGAGCAGAGAGCAGTAAGGGGTCAGCCCGAGATGAGAGTCTTTAGCAGGACTGGCCCTAGAGTGGCCTTCTAATTCCCACGTGACCCTCTTTCTATTTTAATCACTCTGTCGGAAGCCACTGTCCTTGATGTTCTTTCTCTGTGTCACATTTCTGAAACAGCCTCCCATATATCTGAAGCTGAGGGCAGGAAACATGTCTGTTATGGGTAAAAGTGCTTCTCCTGAGACTTTGAAGATTTTTTTTCCTAGAGGAAGCCTGTCTGCAGCCTTCACAAACAATTTTCTGGCCTAGAAAGTTCAGTTAACTGATTTACTGCAAGCTAATGGTGTTACTCAATAACCCTGACTGAAGGCAGCCGGTTATTATGACTTATGTGTGGAATCAGAGCATATCCCCCTGCTGTTCTGGTATAGAAAAAAAAGCCGATGAAAGGTGAAGATTAAAAACATGTTATGAGAATAAAGTTTTTTTCTTCCTCCCTTTCTGCATTAAAGTTAGTTTTTGAATCTGTTTTATGATAATCTATCTATCCAAAGATACATTAGAAATGCATCTTTTAATGTCTGGAGGAAAACTTTGCTTACAATGGGATGATGTTTCTCTTGTTCACTTAGCAACAGATCAATATTTACCTAGTGATTCACTTTTTTTGTTCTCAAGAAATGTTTGCTTTCAGTGGCACAGGTGGACTAAAGCTTGGTTCAGAAATTATGAGAAGATCTAGATGATGCTACAAATCTCCACTTTTTTCTGAATTAAAAATTTAATGTGTATTCATTTTCTAAAACTGAAAAATAAAGCACATGAAAATCATCTATAATTCTCCTACTCAGAGATATATCCCATTATTACTTAGGTGATCATCCCTTTGGGTCTTTTTCTTCTGCAGACTCCCCCTCACCCGCCCAAATCAGGGGTCTATATAGTGTTGGGTGGCGGGCTTTGTGCCATGGACATTTGCCCACAATGCTGTGTATGTTCTAACATTTGATTTTTAACAGCTGCAGAATTCTGTCAACCATTCAAATTTCCTAATGGCTGTTGGCAGCAGTGGTGTAGAGAAAAAGCCTTGAATTGAAATTTGGACTAGAATGGAAACCTAGGTCTTCTACTTCTAAACTAGCCACAGAAACCTGGACCAAATGACCGCCCTCCTGGCCCTTGGTTTCCTCCTGTGTAAACTGAAACAGGCAGCGCTCCTGTGATGCCCTTTAGCACGAGTAACCCGAGTCTAGTACCACTGTTGTCATCAAGCATCAGATAAGTCCACTTAGATGAAGGATCCTGGGGCTGGGGGTTGTGGCTACAGAATAAGGACAAGAACCCAAAGAGAAGGTTTTCTTGTGTATCTGCCCTCTTCTGTTTCCATCCCCCATATTCTAGGAAGGGCTGTCACTAGCCCCCTTGGACTTTTGTTTTTTTAAGGACTTCTTTTCCCCCCAGTCTTTTTTGTGCATACATGTTTATTATTTAACAAAATTGATTGATACTTATACAAACTGGTGGGCAACTTGAAAATTTCAGTTAGAAACATATCGTGTAAAAAATTCCGCTGATAAATTTAATGCCATTTCATTGTATAAGGCATCATAACATATTTAACCAGTTTCCTATTTTATTGGGTATTTTTTTTCCATTTTTACATCTTTGTAATTATAACCATTGCTGTGGTGGAGGCATATATAGATCTGATTGCTTCCTAGAATAAATTCTTGTTAATATGTTTGCTATAGAAAAAGATGTGCTCAGTTTAAGGAATTTTACATATATTGCCAAACTGTTTTCCAGAGGGATTGTTACAGGTTATAATCTCAGCAGCGTAGTTGGTTTCTCTTTTCTTCATATTTTAGCCTCTGTTTTCTCATCTGCAAAACAGGAATAATGATAGTAATACAATTCTTTCCCACTTCCTAGGCTTGTTGGGAAAACAGATTGCAATAGTATGTGAAAATGTTTTATATAAAGAATTAGAAGCTTGAAGTTCCAAGGTCCTGGTGGGAGTTTTTTCCAGTAACCTGCCATTCTGTGTCTTCCTATGGCTTCTTTCAGCCCCTCCTGGGGTTGCCCCCTCCACCATTGACTTATTCTGTGCTAGACATCAAGCCAATCACTTTACATTCAGTACAAATAAGAGAGAGAGTCTGAAAAGGTGATATTGTGACCCACTTAACAAGTCAGCTTATGCAATCGCATCTCTTACTGTCTACTTTATCCTTAAAGCTCCACATGCCTTATTAGTTGGAAATAACATCTCCCCTCCCAGATTTTCCAGCCTGTTCTGTGTAAGGCCCGGAAAAACCCAAGGGGTTATGTAATCTAAAGGAGGGGGATGGGTCTTTCCCTCTCTTTCTAAATACAAAGGGTATTTTGAGCTATCATTGACATCAAGTACAATGCACAAACCTTAAGTATACAGTTGAGGACCTTTTGCATATGTATTCACTTGTGTAACTACCACTCCCTTGGGCTTTTACAGGAGTGTCCTGAGTCACCTCCTTGCCTTTGCCCCACCCATGTGTCACAATACCACTTGAATCGACTTCCTCAAGCAGGCCAGCACCTAACATGCCGCAGGGTGACCCCAGCCTACCTGTGGCATTCTCCCATTGCCCACTCAGTGTCTGCCTCCTGAGCTCCGGCCCTGGGCTAGTCCCAGATCCCCTCCTTTCTCTCTCTACCAAAGTGCCCCTTCTCCTGTAAGAAAACTTTAGCATCTATTCTGAGAAACTTTCCCTGATTTCTCCCTCTCCTCTTCAGTCAGAATGAGCCCCTCTTCCTTCTTCCTACCTGTGTGTTTCCCCAGCGTGTACCTTCTGTGTCCATGTAGCACATCCTTCCTTGTTTGGGGGGAATTCGTATCTCTCTTTTCTTCGTCAGTAAAGTAGGTATATCCCAAATGCAGAGCC